AAAAAGTTTCGATCGAGACGAAAATCGGGGGATGGAGTAGAGGGCTGGGCCGGGGGGAGATTAAAGGGGGGGAAAAAGTTCACCAGGCTTTCACGTTTTCCCCTTTTCCGTCAATTTTCCATGATGGGAAACTATTTTTTCGCGTGCTGATCTGTTTAAGCAACTTGCGTCCGGGGCTGAGAATCCCATCGTGATAAATCATTGACGTGTTTCGTGTTTCATGGATCACACTCCAAGCACCTTTCTCTCCGTCTTTCTCTCGCATACCTGGGAATGGTAATTTACCGACTCGTCTCTGCATCATTTTTCATTCCGCAAATCGATGTGCGATCGGGGGAAGGTATCGGAGGGCCTATATTATTCCGGTTCGATGAAGCAATCCAGGTGAGGCATTTTGCAAGGAGAGGAAGGGCGTCGGAGCATACAGACGAGAGAGATATTAGCAAGAGAGGAAGCACGACTTGGCCTCCTTCCAGAACCGGAGAGTGGCCATTAGAACGGAAAGAAGACGAGAGATCCATGGTATACCAGTATCACACGGCGTATCGACGGGATCCTGCCGGATTTCGATGGTTTCATGTTTTCGAGCACGAAAGAGGAAAGGAAACGTTCGATCCGACGAGTCGGATTCTTTCTTCGCCGTGAAAGAATGCTGCATGGAATGCATCCCACTCCGCATGCCTTCCGGATAGACTGATGATGCAGGAAGAGCCCGAGTGAGGGTGTGATGTTAATAGCTCTACATGGTAAAGATCGTTGCGACACGAGAGACCTTGCCTGAAGAACTGGTTCTTCGTGCCGATCCTCCCTCTATCCTCATTACGCGTACGGTCGTTTCCCCATTGTACATAGTGCAGACATTCAAACGCAGGTCAAAGGCTCACATCGCGCTCTATTTATGATGTGCAGCACATCTCTAAACATTGACTGAATTATTAAAATAGAACTTCACCTTCCGGGCGCGGCACTCGACCTTATAAGGTATTTCCTTGAAGTAGACAGATTAGGAACAGGAGACGGCGGTGGCTTTCACTGGGTAGCTAACCCTGTTCCAACAGACAAATGAAAATGGACTCTGTCTTTTCATTTTTCTTTGTGTTCTTTTTGTCTCCCCTTATTCCCTTTTTTTTTTTGTCTGGAAAGTGGAGTATCACTCACTCAACTGGTCTGCAGGGCATGAGTCAACGTAGCCTCCTCAATCATGTTTGGCCATGTTGAAAAATCACCTCATGAGGGATGAGGGGATAGAGATGATGCCGGCTTAGGGAGTCTTCTTTTCCCTCTCCCGATATTACTCTTTCAGAGGTACATTAAAGCTAGAATAATGGGCGCCTGAGTCTTCCAAGGACGTGACTTGAGTGAATTGCCAGCTCCCCTCTTGGAAGTATAAGATACCCCGCCTCGATAGTCGATACACATCTGCGTGTTTCGCGACACCGAGAGAAAGAGTCGGAAGTGTAAGAAAGATCCTGTCTTTTACTCTTTTTCTTTCCTATTCCTTTTACGCTCGTGCTCTTCCTGTCCGCTATCGTCCACTTTCAGGTGCTTCGAAATTACGTCGTAGTGATTACTGGGGAAAGCGATGAACGGGATCTCATCGGCAAGGTCGCAAATAATCTCCTTGTCACCGACAGTCCAGGAAAACAAGAAGGGGAAAATCAGGCGTGGTCATCATAGAAGTTCACGTGTTGCCCGCAAGATTGATGATGGCATCGCACGATCTTCTCTCTCTCCTTTCTTTCTTTCTTCTGCTGTCTTCTCTTTCTATCGTTCTTCCCTTCTCCTCGTTTCCGCTCTGTTTGAACAGAGAGAGGGGCTGGAAGGATGGAATGGGCGCAGGGATTGGGGGGTGTCGTAACGTTGTTGTCCCACGAAACAGAGGAGCTTAGCTTATCTTAGCTCCACCTCTGTCGCTTCGCAATCTTCCTCTCGGGGTGTCAGCACTCAGAGCACACTATCGAGGAGGTGAAGAGTCATGCCAAGATTATTAAGAAATGTGAAATGGACGCGGGAGCGTGTTCGGTGTTGTCCCACGAAACGGAGTTGCCTGGCCTATCCTAGCTCCGCCTCTGCCGCTCCACAATCTTCAACTCGGGGTATCAGGACTCAGGGCGCACTCCTATCAACAAGGTGGAGATTCATACATACGGTCGTGATTCCCACTTCCTCCGCTCTCTCTCTGTCCCTGTTGCCTCAATAGGCGAGTGAAGTGACCTTTAGATGCTTCTGACTAGTGTGCGTGTTTCCATTCATTTACGAGAGAGCACCAAGTCCAGTGCCGTTGTATCTTTCCAATTGCTGCCCTACTTCTTTCGGTGGCTCCTTAGATACTGCAAGACAGCGAACAGGGAAAAGCTATGGTTTATCCCCTGTTCTATCAACTTGACAGGTGAACAGCGCCAAGTCTCATCTGGTGTGAGAAATACGATCCTTGGTTCCATTTTTACTGGATATCCGATGAGATCCCAGACTTCAGGACGGACGTGAATGCCAGTTTTCAGTTTGAGATTACATTTATGATTGATGGGAGGGATGTCGCCAGAGCCACCCCCTGATGACTCTCCGAGATAGAGAGAGAGCGACAGAGACAGAGACAGAGAGGACATTAGCGTGTGTGAAGTTCACTGGGGAGGAGAAAGAAAGGAGGGGAGTCATAAAACGAGATCATTTCTACGCGTGCCTCTCTTCAGGGAAAATTATTTTCTTTCACACAAAAACACTCTCTTGGGTTATTAAAGGGATTTATGCATTGGGCTTGGGATGACGTGCCAGTAACGGCCCCGAATTTGCCCAGGGAACATCTGGCCCAGCTGATTGCAGGCAGAGAGAGAGAGAGAGAGAGAGAGGGGAGGGGGGGATGGGGCTGGGGACCGGCGCGGACCGGCCTCCCATCCATTCTCCACTGCCTCCACCACACCACATGAGAAACTCTCCGCTTGCACACACACACTCTCTTTCCTCTCTCTCTCTCTTTCTCTGCACACACACACTCACATTCACACACACACACCCCCCAGACCATGCCATACCATACCACGGAGATAGTCTTCACTCTGCTTCCACGGTGGCCGCTCTTGGTGCATTGTCATCTCCCCCGTTTCCTTTTCGTGCCCTTCCCACGGTGACCTCGTGAATGGTGAATCAGTGCTTTTTCTCCCCTTTCACAAGGCAACAGATCAACGTTAATTTTTTTTTTTCATCTGGCCGAATTGTGAAGTTGGTCGAAATTTGACGAACTTGCATATGAAAAATGACATGCTGTGGCTTGGAGTGACAGTCACCGGACCACCCTGTTGTGTCAAGTATCTCAAGTATCGCCCATCTCTTTGTGTCATGTGAGGTGATTATATGTGATTATGCTCGTTGGTGGGCAGCTTATCAATTCCGAGAGAGGGGCGATAAGGAGGTTCCGGAACGAGAAAACGTGCTCTTAATGAACCATCACCTCTTCCCCCTCTCTATTGTTTGCAGAGGGAGGTCTTAGAAGTATCTCTCATGTGTCATAGAAGAGAAACGTGATTCCCTCGGCTCATTACGTGATTAGGATGTTGGTACCTTGTGAGTCCCCTCAGGCCATCAATTGATTGCCCCCACTGCGAACAATCCTCATCCAAATGAATGATTCCTCGAGTGTCAACGCTTCCCTCTCGTCACCCCTTTCAAGGAAGGAAAAGTTAATGTGATGTGTCTTAGGTTTTAGGTTAGGTACTGGAAACAGGCTGTATAACCTTGTTTGAGAATTTCGCGATGAGAGGTTAGGTAGGTATTGGAGACGGCTAATCAGGCGGAAATGAAAAGATAAAGAGCCATGGAAGCCGTAACTTTAGTGATATGCCAGACACCCTCTCCCTCGCTTGCTCTCTCAAGTCATCTCATAATAGCTTATCCTCCTACGGAAAGAGACAAGGTTGCCTTCGTCTGGCATCTGCTGTGATGTACTCAATGACAGATGACTGCATTATTGAATATATCTTCCCTCCCGTTTTAGGTGAGTTTAGGGTCACTGAATTCTTTTTTTTTTTTCGCAGGGCGTCTTTGGGTGTGAGTGAGCGATGGCATTTGCGGATGATGTCCGCAAGAGCGACCGCTGTGAAGCGTGATGCCTGTGATATATATAAAAAGAAAAAAGTGCATGTGAAAGCGTGATTATACTTGTGCCGGTATCCATACAAAATGATAACGGTGGACGGCGCGGATGGCGGAAAAAAGGCGGCGGAAGGCGATCGAGGATCTCGGAAACGGTGCACACGTGGTGGCAAGAATAGCACCACCAACAACCACCACAGCAGTCCCAGTAAAAACGATAGCAGTGCGAATCGCGAGGAGACCGTAGACGGCGAGGGTGTGATCGTGGAGGATGTCGTGATGCATGTGGCGGGGCGGAAGGGTCCCCTTCGTGGAAATGTTTGGAAGTCCTCAGACGGGGAATACATTCAGTACAAATGCGTCGACGATGGTGTCATCTATCGGCCGGGTGGTGAGTCAACATCCATGTATCCCACGATCCTTCCCCCCCCCTCTTAACGGTTTTCTTTTCTTTTTTTCCTTTTCCATGATGACCGAAGTGCTCCTTCGCTTCTGACCTTTGCTACCCTAAATGATGGGTCATGGATTCATTTTCCCTCCCCTGTTCATGCCACCCATTATCGGGCGGACATATGCATGCACGGGGCTCCCTATCAAAACCCGTAAATCATGGGACAAAGAGGAAGCTTGTGACCAAGGACGGATGTCATTGTCATTGTGACAGCGGAAGGACATATATATTGCGATCGTGAAATTTCGTCACACAACCTGCGTCACGTGAAGGAGAGGTCTTTTTTTTTCTTTTTTTTTTTTTTTTTTTACTTCTCGATGAGTGTGGGAAGGAAAAGGAGATATGATTGAGGTCAATCGCGTGAAAGCCGTTGTCCTTTTTCTCTCTCTCTCCATCATCCTGTCGTCCACTTATAAAACATGATTTGGAACTCCCTGTCGCTTATGGCCCCTAATATTCCTCATTCCATCAGGAGTTCATCTCGTCATTTGCATGACGGGAGGTTCGTATTGGAAGGAGAGAGAATATGTCATGAAAGGAGAGAGAGCGAGAGATGATTGAGAAAAGCGGGCGGTTCGTCTTTTCCTTCTCACGAGACAGGACAGGGAAGATGACAGGAGTAGAGCCCTTCACTGTATACTTCGTCGCCTGCCCGATTCAATGACGCTTATTGCCATGGAATCTGTTATTCTTGCGGAACACTCTTCTTTCCTTTCCGCCCTATTAACGTTGGGTGAAAATCGATCTACCTGGGAGCCAAGGGGATGCATTGTATCACTGAGCTTGGCATGGTTGCTAGTTTACAAAAAAAAACCCTGACTCCTTTCCTTTGTCAGTCTGACTGTCTCTCTCTCTTTCTCGATGCCCTCGTTTATTCTTCGGAGTAGTCTAAAGATCGCCATTAAAAAAATTCCTGGTTGATCTAATGATTCACATCGCTACAGATTGCTAAAAAAAAGAAATTTACATACCGATCCTATCAAAAATACACAATAGATATGTTTCGTACATGAATCTTAATTGCCGGAAAAGTAAATGCATAAGCAATGGACACGTGTGTCAGAGGTTCGTATGTGATAGCAATTCATCTCGTACTTGCGGGTGGCATGGAATGCACAATATGGGCTTAGTCGTTTGCATGTGTGACCCGAGAAGGATTCTATTCCACAGAGGAAGAGGTTGTGCTGTATGGGGAGGGATTGGTGGCCTCTACTCCACTCCACCCCAGAGCCAGCTGGAGGGGAAATGAATCCTCCTCGTGCCACCCCACCTCCCCCCTCCATACATTTCATCACGATCGTAATACGTTTTCCCCTCCTCTTTAATGCCCATTTCACGGCTTCCGCCTCGTCTGATTCTGAAGATACTGTTGTCATAGTCAGGTCTGTACCATGTCGCCCTACACTGCTCTTGGAATGGAAGAACTGCTAGGAAGTGATTGACAGAAAGGCATCCGGTGTCCAATTTGTATTTGTCTTGCAAGGAAAAACCGGTCCTTCGACATTGACAGGCTGGGATTTTTTAAATAATTTTTTTATATTTTTATCTTCCATCCCCACTTCGTAGCAGTAGGCGATGATGGGAAAATGGAATCCGTGCATGACATGTGAAGTCCCTTCCCATTGTTTATCATCCCCTCCTTCCGTGACATTCCATCTCGGTTTTCTCCACGAAAACCCCCGGGAATCGTTCTCTCGTCCCTCAGTTTCTTCATTCCTGAGCGAGAAGTTATCAAGAGAGTAGCTTCGAGCCCTTCTTTCATTCTTCCTTGTACCGCCCATCATCAACCTAATCATGGTGGTGACATTTCGCAAGGGAAAAATGGTTGACGGCCACGCCTTATCCTGAACTTTTGCCAAGAATTAGAATTCCTCTTCTTGATTCGTTACTTGGGGTCTGAGAATGTCTTGACATGCACTGCAGCTTCGTCCTCGTCAGTCATCCATTCTTTTTTAATTTGAGCGTTTGTGATAACATTCATTGGCATATGTGAGTGCCTTAAAAGGTTCCTCCTCCGGAAGTGGAACAACAGCGGGATAGAATTTGCATTTGATATACAATAGATGAGGCGTGACGAAAGAGCGGGAGAAGGAATAAGTACCATGTGATGGAGATGAAGAGGAGAGACAAGGGAGGTCAGTCCCTTCCCGAGTCAGAGGAATCTCCATTGCCCATGTTGATATGGCGTTTCTTTTGAAAAGGGCCGCCCCGGAATGCATTATAAATGGCCCGCCGGTTCTATTGATCCGCCATGCTCTTCAAAAGCTGCTTCTTCCTCCTTTCCCCTTCTTCGTCTTGTTCTTTCGTTTTTGGTCTGGACTGTCCCCCTTCTAATCAAGCGATGGGCTTTCCTCTGTCCACCAATTTGTGTATCATTAACATTGCATGCCTTTTCCTCTTCGTCTGTTATTTTTTCCTCCCCCAGCCCAATGGATGAATATTTTATCCGCCTTGGGCTTGATGGCTTCATGACGCGCTGCATGCCCCTCTATTATATTTTACCCACCAAGCTACGAATTCCCATCTTGTTCCCATGGAATGAAATCTTTTTGTGATCAGGAGGGGGCAAACTGTGAGACACGTCCATCCATCCTCTTTCATTTCGCTCTCATTGTGTTCCCTCCATTGTCTTTTTTCTCATTTCTTTTCCTCTCTCCGAATGAAATGTAGACATCAAATGATTATTTTCGGGGAGGACTGACTCCTGTATTCCTGGATGAGGAAAGGGAAAAGGAAGAGGGGAAGATGAAGCCTAGCTCCCATTGAGAGGGATTTCCTCTCGTCGCCCCCAACAAATCCCATCAATATTTCCCCCCCTCTTTCTGCCTTTTCCGTCTCCTTTCTCCTCCCCTGTGATCTTTTGATTAGGTCGCTCTCTCTCTCCTCCGGCTCAGTACATAAGGCTCATTTTACAATATGGCGTGTCGCTGTCTCTTGAACCTGAATTCTCATCGATCTCTTTCCCGGCTCCTGGGAAATGCAATCTGATTGACGCTCTGGGCATGATTTCTATCAAGGTTGGATTGTTTCTCGTTTGGTTTTATTGAGGAATCCTGGGATACGCCCGACTATTCAATACCTCTTACCAGGCGCGCCGCCCTTCGCTAGTGGCCTTATTTGAATCAGTCCTTCAAAACTGATATCATTTAAATATTTGAGGCTGGCTGTTTTTGTCGCCATGAATTTGTGTTCATAATAAAGAATGAAATGAAAAACCTTACGTTTATGGCCATCAATTTAATGAGAAAGTTCATGTTATCCATGAAAATGTCTGCTAATGAAACTTCATAAGCACGACAGGAATTCCTCTCCCGTATAACCAGGATAACGACTTGGAAGGCGGCGAGCGAGGGAAGAAAGGCAGAAAAGAAAGGAGGAGGTTCTCGAAGGTGTTATGGAGGAAGGGAAAGGGCCATTATCGTCATCATGATTGTGTGTGTATATAGCCTAGGCTAGGGCTCCCTTGTTCCATGTTCCCGCTGCGTCATGTCCATGTCCAGGATCTACGCCTGTTCCCAGGGTCTCTCTTCTCATATTTCTATATGAAACATTTCTGATCTAGTACTTGACGCCAGAGGTCTCAAAAAAGGAACGGAAAGTGTAAAGTGGAGGTTCCGGGGTGGAGGATATCGGGGCCCAGGGCCAGGCTTTATGGCCTCGGGGCATAGAGAAGTGAACACATGGTTCTCATTCGATCCAGGATGATGAATTGTTCTTGCCAACCTATTTCATCCTTATAATAATATGAACCTCATTCTGCCTCCTTCCCGACTCTTAACCTTCCTCACTTCACACGATAGAGTTGTCTCTCTCTTGTTGTCCAAGGATCAATGAGCTGTCTAGTGTCACCTTCATTCGTATGGAGATTTTTTCCTTCTCTCTGGAGCCTTCTTTCCCTACTGAGGCTGACTCGGTGTGAAAATTCGTCTTTTCCGCATGGCCGATCGAGTGAAACTACTTCGGTCTATTCAAATTCCTTCGCCTCCCCTCCTTTCCGTCGCCTATTTTCATGCAGAAAATGTGCCGTATCGCACTAATTATACATTGCATCTAAGAAGAAATGTTTCCCAAATCGTGCGAGTACCGGGAAAGGAAGGGAGGGAGGAATGAATGGGGGAAAAAAGGAGGGGAGAACGGATGCCCAAATCCGTGGAGTGAATTATTCATCAGGCATGCTTGGCTGGAATTCTGCTTCTTCATTTTCTGACGACTCAAAAGTGAAAAATGACGAAGAGAGGGGTATACTCCTCTGAAAGAGGAGTATGCCTTTTCCTGTCCTTTTCTTTCCTTGTCTCTTGACATCAGAGGTTGGCTGAACGAATCAAGTGGATTTATCTTGCTCGGCATTACCAAAAACATTCAGGTACAGTGAGCGGAGGAAAAAAAAAGTAATTAGTGGTCAAGGGTTTCTTGGATTCTTTCATTAATCATTCTCTTCTGCCCTGAGATTGCCGATGAGAAACAACTCTAGCATCTGCAGTTCCTTTGTTTCCCAAATATGAACGAAGAAACTTGTTGATGTCATGTCCTCGTTTCTGGAAAGATAAGGTATGTCGTCCCCTTGTGTATCCATGGAACCGCATGCATGACCGTAGAAAAAAAAAACGAGAAATCGATATATTTGTGGGTCAGTGCGAGAAAAGGGCCAGAGGGGAATCACGAAGGAAGGGAAGCAGGGTTCCGCTCTTCAAATGAGGCTGAATAGATGGGTAATTGACCTAATGATCCCTTTATCTCGTCTCATCTCATCTCATGCACTCGGTTTGTCATCAGGTCTGTTCTCGTGAGAAATCCCTCCAGGATTAAGGTGCAAGCATACCTGTTGACCGGTTATGCTTCTTTGTTTCATTCCGGTACCCCCCTGGGTCTTATTTGAGCCATGTGTTAATCCCGGATCGTCAGGAGGCGTTGCGAGAAAGGAAAGAGAGGACATTAAGTAGAGAAGTGAATGAGGGGGGGAGTTGGAAGAGGAATGTACCGCATTGACATGTGCACCGGCTCTTTTGTCTCACTCTTCCTCTGTGCATGTGCCAGTTCGGAGGGGAGAGGGAGAGAAACAAAAACCTCCTTTTCATGCTACGCCGCTATGCTCTGCTTAGTTTCATTTTCTCCGTATAGTATTACAGTATTTTTTTTTTAAACATTCCCTTGTCTGTCTGATCCATCGTGCTTCAAAATTAGCTTCCTGGTTATTTCATTTTGAATATTTTGTACTTTACTAAAGGCAGCTTTTAGTTCAACTCATTGTATCTCTTGTCTTATTTAGCCGGTGGTAATTCATTTTACGCTGTGAGAAACCAATCAGGTCACTGTGAATAAGGAGAACCATGATTGAACTTACCCAACACTAAATTGGGCTGGATGCCAAAGAAGAAAAAAGGAGTGATCATTAATATTATGCGCCCTCTAATCATACCTGATCCCGATTCTCCCCACAACCTATTCCCCCACGCGGATACTTCCTGCACTGCACAACTATCAATTGGCTACAGTACGCCCCACCAAAATTATGTGATGCGGAGAAGGAAATATAATTTCGTTTGCTGAAGGATGAACCTAGCTCAACTTTTTAAAATAAAACTTGCCTTTATTGACTTGCCTTACCTGTTCTATTTACGTGTTCCACTCTGAACTTTTGTATTCTTCAATGTCGTGTCATGTTCCCTTCAGCAGTTGAAGGTGCTGCCAGAATATTTTCAAGGGCGTGAAGATTATTCCTGAGATTTAGCTAGAAGGTGCTGCCAGAGTATTTTCAAAGGCGTGAAGATTATTCCTGAGATTAGCTAGAAGGTGTTGCACGACTCCACGTAGCAATTTAAAATTCACGTCAACGTTGATCGTATTTTGTGGTTCGCTAGGAATTCGCCCAGACTCACTTTTCGAGGTGCATGTGCGTTGATGGGTTATGTTCATGTATTTAATTGCTTATGGCTTATGAGCGTATACATTTTAGGAATCCCTTTGTGCGTGTCAGTGTAAGAACTTGGTTATGAAGAAGCTTTATATTTCTCTTCATCTCTCATAACCTCACGTCTGTTCATGTCAGGTTAAAATAACATCTGCCCAGTACTTTATATCTTGAAAAAGCACTATAATGATATCCAAGGGTACTTCATTCGTTATTGTTGTAAGAAAGCTCGGACATATTGAATCGTTGAGCGGCGTATTGGTGTAGTCGCATGGACAGTGAGGTACTTGGGGATACGTGTGTGCTCATTTATGTCCAGAGTGAGATACAGTTTCACATCAAAGGAGATTAGAAGGAGAGGGGGGAGGGAGGGTATGAACGTGTTTGGAATATGGAATGAAATGGAATGGAATGGAAGAAAGAGAAGGCATGCAAAGGAAGGAGGGGGGAGTCAGGGAGGATTTCTCATCTTTCGCATTGCTGAGTAATGGTCGGGAAGAAAGGCCCGGATAATGGCTCGGAAAGATGATGATGATCATCATCATCATGATAATAATGATGATGTTCCCTTCCAAACCGCTTTTCTTTTTCCTTTTCAAACCGATTCGGGATTTCATCAAATCGGGTAATATTTGACTGTTTCGAGTGGATCGTAACAGACGGGATGTGGCGTCGTCCAGATCAGTCCGATGAATGGTCTCTGGTAATGGGATCGTGTTTAGTCTCCTTTGTTTGCTCCGTAGAGGTCCAGTGTCTCTGACGATAGGGGACGCCAGGAATCGATTCCCGGAACGAGAATAGATTTCATTTCCGTCCCGTCGACTCTAGCCAGTCTTTCAGTTGTGCGGCCTGTAATGTCCTGGGTAATTTCAATTTCTTGCCGTGATTGAGAGATGACGAATCGTATGGTTGGGAAGGGAATCCAATCGACGGCCGATAAGAGACTTCCCTCTTTTATATGGGCAGCTGTGTGTCCATGCCCTCTTCTTTCTTTCTTCCTTCCTCCCTCCCCCTCCTCTGTCTGAGGACAATCTCATCTGCTCGGAAGAAAAAAGGGGGAAGGGAAGATTTACTCGACCCGATATTGGCCATGGGGTCCAGCCAGTCATTTATTCGCCTCTCCTGTCCCCGGGAAGAAAGGAAGAAAACTCTCAGCGCTCTCTCTTCTCGTCTGCCCTTTTTCTGTATAAAGGCCAGCTCCTGAAGGACCTGGACTGCTGCTTTTGTCTGTATATTTCTTCGATCTCAGACCAGGGAGATCTCGTAGATACAGTAATCATGTGAAGCCTCCCTTTATGTCCGTATCGATTTGCGACTAAGGCAGGCGATTTAGCCTAATCGGGATCGTGTTGAAGAAGAGGAGAAACACCTGTCTGCATCGTTTAGTTACCAGAGCGAGAGGGGGAACTCAAAGCGAGGAAATATTTCCCAAGCACGCAATTTTTCAGGAGGTCCGTGAATTTTGCATGAGGTCTTCATTAATATTTCCGCCTTGGATAAAACGGTTTCGTCCCAATCAGACCGAAAGGTTAATCGACGCGTTATGCTTTCTATAATTGTACTGTGCGATGCTCTAGAATGAATTTTTTCAATTGCGTTCTACCCTCTAATGACTGATACCTTTATATAAATCTTCCCATCCATTGACGATGGTGATTGTCAGTCGACTGAAATTGTGTCGAACTCGCCAGAAAGAACCTTTTAATGATATTCGGGGTTGGTTCTTGGGTGGAGCTAAGAAAACTGCCAAAAGGCCATTTCAAAACTCCTCTGTGTCCCGGTAGATTTTATGCTCTTTCTGTTTCAATGGGCGTCCTGAAAGGGGTGAATCCCCGATCACTTTACCCTCTTGAATCCAATTATACCCAATGCCAGGCAGGAATAGTCAGTAATCCGCCAGTTGGAGTCGATTCTTTGCGTCCCGGGAGGCGAGCGGACGCTCTACCATTAAACCATACCACTCCATTCCTTGAATGTAAACCAGAAGATAAATAAATAAGTGAATGTTTCATTTAAGTTGACACTCGTTTTCAAACTTACTCCAACACTCGTCCGCGGCACTTCGGTACATGGATGGTTTCAACTGAAAAGGTGTCGTCATTCATTTTTTACATCCTCATAAACTAAAGGGATCACGGATCTAGCGGTGTCAAACTCAACTTGAAGTTAGGAATGTAGTTATAAAGGTTGCACAAGGATCGATGTATATATGAATATGTCCGCAAGATGTCAGATCAGTCACCGTCTTTGAGTTTCCCCCGTGAAACTGAAGATGTTGCAAGTGTCGTGGGGAGGGGGGGGGGATGATTCCCTCCCCCCCCCCCCAGAGAAGGAATATTTCCTGTCTTCTCCCCTGAGACTCGATCATGAAATGAAGTCTTGACACGCGATCCTGTCATCGTGGATAAGGAAGCCCCTTCCCCTCCATCAAAACAATTTCTCCTTCTCCTTCAGCATGCTTAATCTGCTATAGCGTATATATGGTCATTCGATAATTTTTTGTTTTTTTATTTTTTATTTTTAGATGCCGTCTACATCGAGAGCCAGCACAGCGATCAGCCTTATTTCATCAGCTCCATCCAAGACTTTAAAAAGGTGAGGGGATTCTGATTCTGCTGAACAGAGAGGAACATTCAATAACAACTTGATATTCCGTGAGAGAGGTCAAAACATTTCGGCCCTATGCGTGACGCAAGTCGGGGCTAATTGGGATGCGGGGATTACTGGGATAGAAAAAGATGAAGCCCTCCGCCTCCGGTGGTTTTTATGCCTCTGCAGGCTAGCGGCGTCTTTTATTCCTTTCGGAAGAAAGAGAAGCGGAGGAGAGTCGAGAGTCTCATAAGAAGGATCCATATAAGGGAAAAAGGGCGGAGGGATAAAGAGGAGTCGATGGGACAAGGGAAGGGAGAGGTATTAGGCCTAAAGGCCTGCGCTGCGCCGATCCGCCATGGCATGGCTCCCATCTTCCCTTTCCCTCACTTGGTTCTTGGCCTAGCCTATTCCCTTGGTTTTTCCTCTTTTCCCGGTGAATATTTCGTCAATCTTTTGATGTCCATGTGCATTTGAAACCCAGTGATACCCTGAGAACCGCTTCCAGTGACTCAACAATGTTCAGGATGTGTTTCAGGTAGGAAGAGGTCTTGATTCAGGCTTTTGAGGTTCACTCAAGAGTAGTACTGCCGTGACCGAGCTCATGGCCATAGAGTCGTAGGCCTAGGCCTTGTCATATATAATGAAAAAGGCCTAAGTTACTTAGAGTTTTTTATTTGAATACATTTCACGAAATTGATGACCTGACATTCTTGTTTGAGATACTTACCTGTGTTATGAGCTGGATATTATTTTCGCAGGCCTAACATCCAGCTGTGGTTTTATTTTGATTTTATTTTTTGCTAGACCATCCAAACGTTAGACAACCCTGGCCTAGTTCATTACTTGGGATCAGATTTGGCTTACCAGAGGCAGATTGAGTGCTACTTAAGGGTTAAAAGCCTGTGTCTTGCTTGATGCAGTAGCATATTAAAGCATAGGTTTAACCAACATCTTTGAATGTTTTACTTTACAGAGTAAGAGAGATCACTTGATGGTACACATCAAGTGGTTCTACAGGCCCTCTGAAGTACCTGAAACTGTATATCAGCTCCTTGTGCAGGATCGAAATACTGAGCACCGTGAGTTCTCCCTCATGATGTACTCCCTCCTTTGATTAACTCCATCATGACCATTGGTCCCTGGTCAGTGGATCTTTTCAGTTTGTACCCATGCATGGGAAGAACCAGACTTTCATATCAGTCATCTAAGAAAGCTTGTTGCTTTTGCTTAAATTTGAAAAATATGCAAATGTAAGAAAATGTAAAATGCCCATCCACTGTCAGAAATTTAGCATTTAATATTCATGGGATGAAGCATGTATTGAGGTGAGAGTCTTGGATGAGCAACCTTTGCATTAACGAGCTTAAGCCACAAGTCTTGTTGGCTAGAATATGTTGTAGTATGTGAAGAAGACTTTTCCCCATGATTTCCAAGATGGCGTTATATGACATCTGACTTACTCTCTTTCACCTCAGAACAATTACAGAGATGTTTGCTTTAATAGATTGGGAGAGCAAGATTAGTAAAGATCCTGTGGTTCGATCAAGAGAACTCTTCATATCGGATGCAGCAGACACTTATCCAGTCTCTGTACTAAGGTGAGGACTTTCTAGAATTACCAGTGCTTAATTTGGACGGCAACTCATCCTTTATATGTCATTTTTAACTTGGAAGTTTCTTGCTTGTTTTCAGAGGAGTGTGCAGGGTGTTTCACCTTGCTGACATTGCAGCCGTGAAGGGATTTAGTCCTATTCCAGATTCTTTCTTCTACGTTTTGGGCTACAATCCTGAGACGAGGAGGCTGGCATCAACCCAGGGCGAGATCCGGGTGGGCCCCTCGCATCAGGTTTGCATCATCAATTGATCCTTAATTTAAGTGTGTATCGGAAAGATTTGGCAATTGACATTTTTCTGAATCTCCTATACTGTCTACTTTTATTCAGTTATACCTACTGACAGCAGATATTTGAATTTAAAGTAGAGAGGACCCTTGTTAAAAGTGTGCAGTTGTTGTGTTCAACAAAGAGAGCAGTTCATATCTAGTATTTCTACTCTTGTTCTTGCTACTGGTATGATGGCTTACTTGTTGGACCAATGACCAGAACAAGGAGGAATTTATGCTTCTTCCTGCTCCAAAAGGGGCTGTGTGAAATATTTAAATGCAAAATCCAGTTAATGATTTTTAAACTAGACTGTATGAGAGGGTATACAAAAGTAAAGGGATAAGCATGTTAATATGTGAGATTATTTTGGGTGAACTTGGACATGATTGTCCTCCTTCATGAACACTCTTGACTGTCATGACCTTCTTCTTTTTTAAGTGGTGAACCTGCCTCATTGTCAGTTGGAAGGAATCCTTTAGGCTTGGCACACTGATCTTTTTGTGAAGTAGCTTGCACTTCCTTGTCACTCTTGGATATCTGCCCTTGAAGGACTTTTTTTTTGGGGGGGGGGGGGGGTGAATGTTAGCTGAAAGATAATATTTTTTGCAATCAAACAGAAAAGTGGATATTTTTCCATAGTCAACAAAGTCTACTCCATTGGCTGACACACTGTGTTCCCCTGAAATTGTGATATATGTACAGTATTTTCAGGCATCTTTTACAATAAAATTGACCACTTCTGGTCCCTTGTTCTTTATAGGTTACATTTATTTTTGTTCATATGTGTTCCTTTCCCCCCCTTTTTTATTTTAATATGCTTAAATTTTAATGTCATATACCTGTTGATCTAGGCCCGTCTGCCCGAGTTGCGAGCCGGGGTGACTCCGGGTCAAATGCCAGAGAAGTGTGAAGACAGAGAGGAACCCAAGTGGCGATCTGGTTTGACTGGTGACGGGGATCTGTTGATGTATTTAAGAGCAGCTCGCTCCATGGCTGCTTTTGCTGGGATGTGTGATGGTGGTTCACCTGATGATGGGTGTTTTGCTGCATCTCGTGATGACACAACAATAAATGCTCTGGATGTGGTGAGTTTTGAGTCTTACCACCAAACATTTAGCAAAGCATTTGTCTTAAAAATTATATACATATATGCTCTATTCTGTGTCCAGTTGCACCAGAGTAGGTATGATCCAGGAAAGGCTCTTCAGGCCTTAGTCAAATGTCCTGTTCCAAAGGGCATTGACAAGAAATGGACTGATGAGGAGACGGTGAGATAATAGTATTTCATTCTTTAACCCCTTAACAGCATCAACCACGTATGAGTGTCATCTGATTCCCTCTTACAGTACAGTAACTTACAGTACAGTACAGAACTTATAAACTAACCCCAAGCAGAAGAGGTGATGGTGTTGAAGAATTGAAAATCCACTTTTGTCCATCTGTATTGAAATTCATCACCTCATTGACTTGTACAACATTGTCAAGATAAAAGTTATATTTTTTAATTCTTTAAAATCCCTAAAGAGTAGGAAGTTAATCTGTGGTTAGGGAATCAGCACGCTTGTTTGTATAAGTACTTGGCTCTTCACTTTCTGATATCATTTTCCTCCTCACAGAAACGATTTGTGAAAGGCCTACGGCAGTTTGGTAAAGATTTCTTCCGCATTCGTATCGAGTTTTTGCCACATAAGGAGACTGTAAGTCTTTATCAATTTTCACCCATTGTATTTCAATGTTGGTTCTCTTAATCATTAAAACACTGTTGCTTTGCAGGCTGATCTAGTGGAATTTTATTACCTATGGAAGAAGACGCCGGGTGCAAAGAGCAGTCGTCCACATAGACGTCAGCGCATCCAAAATACCCTGAAGAGGATCAGAGCTAATCGAACCAACAAGAATCAGAAAGATGAAGCTGGTGAGAAAGACTTGGATCACTATAAATTTGCATTGAATGTGATCTGTCTCTAGTGGAGTTGATAGTTTTTCTTGCTGTTGCTAATTGCAGATATGAGCTCAGCCAGTGAAGAAGATAATGAATCAGAAGATTCAGACTCAAGGGATGGGAATGGCTATAGATGCAAACACTGCCTGATCACTGGTACATCATCTTTTCTAGATATTATTCAGCGGTAATGGACTATGGAGGAAGAATAATGTGCTGTGTGTTGTGTTGTGCAGAGTCTAGAGATTGGCACCATGCAGGGAAGGATAAGATTCTTCTCTGCTCAGACTGTCGTCTGCATTTTAAGAAATATGGCGAGCTTCCACTGACAAAAGACCAGGAGAAGTCTGAGGGAGACACTGAGAATGATGGGGACCTGGGTCCACCTACTCCACCACCAGCTGACTTCCTGTTCAGACCTGTGAAAGAGGATGATAGTCCACTGGCTAAGTCAGACAATGGGAACCACAAAGAACAGGTTAGCTTCAACTTTTCTTAAAAATAAATTTCTGTGCCAAGAATTTTGATAGCATTCCACCTGCCCACAGAGTGGATCAAGTGACAGCCCAAGTGATTCTGAGCCCAAGGATGAGAAGTCCCCTGAGGAGAGTGGGAGCAGTCAGAGTACCAGCCCCACCTTGGGCCATACACCCAGCAAGGAAATGGAATCAGTTCCACCTAAGGGCACCAAGAGGAGCATAGATAATTCACCTGCAGAATCTCTTGAGGAGTATCCTAAAAAGAAGAAACCTAACGAATCAGATGAGGTTTGTGGAGTTTAATCTCTACTTTGATGTCCATGATCAAAGAGAGTATGAGTAATGTTCTCATGCATTTTCTAGGTTGATGAGCCGGTTGTTCCTGAAATGAAGAATCTCTCCCAAGAAGGAGACAGAGAAAGCATGATCATTGCACCCCAACCAGCTGTGATTTCAAAAGCAGATGATAAATTAATGTCTCCTGGACCTCAATCTCTTGACATGAAATCCAGTGGCACCCCAGCTTCTCCCAAATTTTCTGCAGCAGCCATCCAGGCAGATCTCTCATCCCCCTCAGATGTAAAGGCAGAGGAACCACCTCCACCTGTCACAACCTCCAGCCTGTCTACCCCATCCATCATGACCCCCTTGCACGTCCAGACATCAGGGAGTGTGATTCACACTGTGGCTTCTGTAAAGGTGGAGCAGGTTTCACCCTCTATTGGGTCTAGTACCAACAGAGATGTCCTTGCAACAATGGCTTCTGACATGAAATGCTTACCTGTGAAGCGGGAATATTCTGAGGCATCAAGCGTTGGGATGAAGCCAGTGATACCTATACCCAGTCCAATAAATGCCTTTCCTCCACTGTCAACAACAACAACTCCAACTAGCAGTGCTCATGCTCCTATCACGTATCCTTCTCTGGGTATTCCTCCTCCACATCATGGTCCACATTTCTTTCCTCCTCCCTCCTCCCTTGCTTATCATACTCCATACTCCCTGTATGGTTATCCGTACCCTTATGCATATACCCCATACATGCCAACACCAAAGATACCGCCTGTGCCTTCGGCACCTCCAGCTCCCTCTAAGGAAAGTCCCCGACCATCATCTGCCTTGGGAGAGGTCAAATCTCCTGCACAACAGCGTCCAGGAGACAGAACACTGGCTACAAATCGTACAGCAGTCCCTCAGCGTCCAGGGTCCTCTCTGCATCACCCTTCTTCTCAGCCTCTCCCTCCAACAACAAATATGTCAAAAACATCAGCACTGCCTCATGCTCCTGCAAGAGACATTAAGGAGTTTGTGGCACCAGAGACCCATGATGGTGGTGGTGAAGATGATGAGGACATAGCCAGTCCAGCTCAACAAATACCTCGTGGCCCCAGTCCTGAGCCCAAGGTGGAGGATTCTGAGTGTCATCGTAGTGAAAGTGCCATGTAAGTGTGATTACCTTGCTTGGTTGCTCTGGAATATTACAATGAATTTTGATATGACATTTAACAATATTCTTGCAGTTTCTTGAGGCATTGGAACAGGGGAGAAGGGAACTCTTGTGCCCGCACAGACTTGACCTTCAAACCAGTCCCTGATTCCAAGTTAGCCAGAAAGCGAGAAGAGCGATTGCGTCGACAGGCAGAGAAAGAGAAGGAAGAAAGAGAGAAGGCAGCCTTTCAGGTATGACAAACCCCGGAATTCGTTTATCTGGGGGCACTTGTTATGCTCCATCTAAATCCAGCATTATTCCCAATTTCAGAAGAGTCAGATGGGAGCAGGGGAGAAGAGGGAGACTCCCAAACCTTCTATGCATGGAGGTCCAATTGAGAGCATTACTTCACCTGCATTTGACCGATTCCGTGCACAAGGACCCTTCCCACCTGATACTCCTGCGCTCAGACAACTGAGGTAGGCATACAAAAGACAATTTTGACATAATTGATGTGTTGTGAACTATAAAAGGTTTTTCCTGGTACTAGTGAATATGCACGACCACATGGGAGTGGTGGCTTTTCTCCTGGGGGCACTCTCCCTCCTCGAACTATGGGATCCATTCCACATCCTGGGATTGATCCATTGCTACATCTGCAACTCGCTACAAGTCATAGTCTCTACAGTGACCGAGCAAGGTGATTTAAATACTGAACAATCCGATGTCACACATCCATAGTGGTGATGCCACCAGGAACTGACTGGGTGGGAGGTTCGCCATTATTCTCATTACTGAGGAGTCCCCCTATGGATGTTTGACCATCAGGCATAATGAAAAATGAATTCTTACCAAATTCAGATCATTTTTGTGATATCCATGATCATGACCTAATCATTCTCTGAATGATTAGGCCAGGAGTTAATAGCATGACTCTTCATGAAATCTGGATTGGAAGGGCGGAGTTGGAGCAAATGGAAAGAGAGAAACGAGAACGAGAGATTCGAGAGATGCAAGAACGGGAGCTCCGGGACCGCCTCAAGGACCCGCATTGGTTGGAAATGTGTCGGAGCAGAGGTCTCATCCCTCATGGAGCTGGAGTTCCTGGACCTCTTCCTTCACCATCACCATTGCCCTTTTATCCTCCAGGAGTTAACGTACCTGCTCAGCTAGAAAGGGAACGACTTGAGAGAATGGGTGAGACCCTTTTGTCCCTTGTCTCTTGATTTTAGCTGCAATATTGGCACTCATCAGTGGACACAGTGTATGTGATAGGCCTTGCTGCAGTTCACTTCCTAGCAATGTAAGTTGCTATTTGCAAAATTCAGAGCCTAATGCTAAACCCAGAGATTAGGAAAATTGCTGGACTCCTTGAAGACTGTAATCTATATGCCCTGGCCTCAACTGATACTAGCATATTTTCAATGGACAGAAGCAGAGGTGGAAAAAGTTCTGTTACCTGTTAACCAGGTTACTAGGAAGGTAGCGACCAATTGGGAAAGCAAGACATGGAGAAGCAATATTAGTGACTGAGAAACTGGGACATTAACAATTGTTACAGGGAAGCAGAAGAACTTTTTCCACTATTGGGCACTTATTGCACTAAAGTCAGAAATGTATTGTGAGGCCTATGACAAAGTTCCGAAGCCTCGTTACTTCATGCAGGAAGAGTTTTCAGTTAGCATGCTATAGGTAAATAAATAGACAAGACTATTGTCTGCTGTAAAGTGAAAAGATCCATTAGTGGTGCTCATCTGGAAGTGAATAACAATTTTCAAAGTGCTACTGTATAACTAATGCTATCTATGAGGTTTTATGGATAGTGGCAATAGGATTGATTTAAAAGAAATGGAATAATTGTATGTCCACCTGGGATGTTGAAAAAATGACTGCTCATGTATGACTTAAAAGTTTCTCCCAAAAATCCATCTTTCTTGTTAGGATCCATAACTCTTAAGTTTATTTCAGCATTGATACTGATGCCTTCCTTCTCAAAAATCTCTATTTAAATTTCACCATGCATTCATGGTGTCCTGTAAGTCAGTGCAAGCACAGTAGTGGTTGCTTCATAGTACCACACATCATGGTGTTAGGGATAGCTTGATCCTCAAGGATTGTGGACATTTAAAATTATATTTCAGGAAGTTGAACAACTCAGAAAGATGTTATTCTCACATCCTGACTGGACTACCTGACTTGAACCAAGAGCCAAGAGAGAGCTCTGGACATGCTTTAGTTTTTGAGATCTAATGGGGGGAAGGGGGAGATTTGCTCAAGAAGGGACGTGGCATTGCTATGGATGATGGCTGCATAGTCCCAATACGTTTTTATTTTATGATATAGGTTATTGCTCAATAACAAGCTTATTTGAGCCAGGGAGTGCTGAGGTACAACCTTGGTTAACTCATCAATGGTTCATATTTTGGTATAGACTTGTATACGAGTTAACTCAGTTTGTCCAAAGAGGTGTTATGGTTAAACTAGGCTTCTTTATGTATGAAAAGCTGAGATAATTTTCACTGTATTTACCTTGTTGCACATCATTCTACTGCTTGTGCATTTTGACTTGTCCTATTTCTTATATCTTCTTCACTGTGGAGCAGTTACCCGTCTATGTGAATTTTCTGTTTTCTCATTTATTTCGCCTCATTTTCATCTGGGTCCATTCTCTGCAGAAGTCAGGAGGCTGGATGGAAGAGACTTGCCAAGCACTGACATTGTGCCACAGTTATGTTTGATGTTTTAGCTATGTTTAATGTTTTCTCATTTAATGAATCATTGCATCCAGCTAATTTCCTTATTTACCATGACTGGGATTGACACATTCCACAAGTAGCTAAACACATGGTAGAGAAAAATTGTCCCTCATCTGATATTCCTGGCAGCACTGCTCCACCTTCTCTAGTTCCCCATGAGTCATGTCACCTTTTCATGTGTACATGGTGGTACCTTCAGTGCTGCTCAGTATCTATTCTGTTCATTGCAATGTACATAACCACCAAGAAGACAGGCCAGATGTTATTGATGTATACCAAGCCCCCCCATTGCTCCTACCATGGAACTAAGAGTAGCCTATGCTTGAACCCAAGGGAGAGTAGGTAACATCCAAAAGCAGCCAAGTGAACTGTTGACCAAGGGAAAACTGCCTGCTGCTGGTCATGTCCAAGCCTGGACTTCCCTGGTGTTAGCCTGAGACCATAACCATTGAGCCATGGCAACATGGTATTTTGTTAAGGAACAGAATGCTAGAACGAAAACATCATACTCCTATGGCATAGATGGAGTATGAGAAAATGTTCTGCTTCTGGTTTGTTAGATGCAGTGACAATTGCCTAACTCTACCAGGAAAAAACATTAACTGTTTCCTTGTGATTCCTATCATTCTTTAGCATATTTTTATATTATTAAAGGTTGCTGATGGTCTGGAGTGTTTTGGAATGATTATTATAGGGTTGTCACCGAGCTATCATGAGCTCCTGTCGTCATCCATGATGGGCGGTCTTTCCCCAGAACGATTCCAAGCCTTGGCAGGGGATCCACTCATGCGGCTTCAGATGTCTGGCCTCAGTCCTGTCGAGATGCACGCCCATGCTCATGCACATACCCATGCACATGCTCATGCACATACTCACCTCCATCTTCATGGTGCTGGTGGCTCAGCTCCTGGACTACCAGATGTTTCACCTGGGTTCCCTCATGTCCCCAGTGAGTTTCTTAATTATTCTTATTAAATTTTGAAATCTACACAATGTTTAAAAAAAAAAAGCTGAATCATTTTCGCTATTAATGACAGTAAATTTTATCAGATCGACTTAACTTTTTAAGCACTGCATGTAGGTAGATGGAAAGAAGGCATGCGAAAATTTTAAGAAAATTGACGCATTGTATCACGTTCTATGCCACTGATGCATTTGTCTCAGCCAGTGAAGCTAACCTCCTTTGCTGTTCTGGATGACATGCAGATGCTTGCACAGCTGAGGGATGCATCAGCAGGCATGTCTGGTGCATTTTTTTAGCCTTTAAGTTTGGAACGTGATACATTAAGTCAACATCGGTCAAAATTTGCAAAAGCCTTCTTTCATCTATCCACATGCAGTGTTTAAAAAGTTAAGTTGATCTGATAAAATTTACTGTCAATAATAGTGAAAATGTTTCAACTGTTTTTTTATTTATACACCATGTAGTTGCTGAGCTGAGCTTTATTTATTGGGCTATGGTAAATAGTCAGTTTGCATTCTCCTGGGAGACACTGAGAATTCAATCTTGATCCTGATGCATGTGATTGGACTGTATTGCTAATTGGACATCAGACTGTATTCAAACACTCTGTGAATTTTAAGCTGAGGCAGTGGTTCCAAAGGAATTATTGTTGTGACATACTGTGGAATGCTAAAAAGTGAATTTTGATTGAGTGGTAATGTTGAAATGAGTGGGTTTGATTGAGTGGTAATGTTGAGATGAGTGGGTACTAGTTGAGTGGGTACTCATGTCACATCTTTTTAGTAGGAAGCACAGCAGGAGGAAGTTTTCCACCCCCTCGCCCTGGCATGGGCTTGCCCCCTCATCGTGACCCTGCTGCAGCATCTCCACTTCCTCTCCTTCGCCCTTATGATGAACACCTCCAGTTGGCTCAGCAGCTGTCAGCACATGAGCAGTTTCAGCGGCAACTACTTCTGGAGAGGGAAGTGCGGTTCCCACCTGGAGGTCCACCCCCACATCTAAGCCACGTTTCTCTTATGGTTCAACACGAAGAGTTCCTTCGGTTAGTCCCTACATTCTCTTACGATTTTAAATCTTCTTTTTGTTTTATTATTTTATTGTATTTATGGTTTTATTATTTGTGCTTGCAGGCAGCGAGATCGTGAGATGAAGGTGCGGGCCTTGGAAGAGGCTGCTCGAGGTGGCCGACCGCCTTGAAATCCTGCTCTTGTGGTGATTTAAGATGACCTGATGGTATTTATTGGTCAGTGTGGCGGATTATGAATTATTATTAGCATTTATTATTATGGTTGTCATTACTTATTTAGTATTTGTGCGAATGGATCTTGATTTTTGTTCAGTGCACTGTGAGAGAGATAGTTGAACAGGAATGATATGAGATTTTTCACTCCAGATTTTCTTGTGATTTTATTCCTTTGGTTCTTCTGAAACTGGAAGGAAAATATTTTGATGCTGCTTCTCAAAAAGGTTTTAATGGTTCTCATTAATACTATTGGTTGTGCACTTGTGGACTCTGCAGACAGAATTTTTGTTCTTGGACACGGACAAAAAGTTCCTTTTCCCCCTCCCCCCCCCCTCCCTATCCTTACCTGGTGTGAGATTGAATATGCTCAAGAATGACTCAACTTTCGCTATCGTTTTGTCCCGAAGAGAGAGTAACTTGAGAGATACACTTTTCTACTCTTACACTCGAAGGATAGTGCCAACCAAGACTTCCGATTGAAAACGGAGAACTGCATGGAATCATGTTCCCGACATCGAAGGAGACACTCCTGGAACCAGTATGAATTATAATTAACAAGACAAGATGCAGATGAGACGTGAAAGAGCACTGAAAAACGGACTTAGCAGAAACGGCCACTACCACATGCCTGCTAGATTATCACAGGCTTATGCTGTCTTGCATGCATTTTGAGTCAAGCGAGAAGCAGATGCCTCCGTAAATGCTTATAACTGCTTTCCTTCCTTCAGTGAATTGTCGGAAGAGATATATCCGGTAATCACGCTACGAACCTTTGCTGTTCCGCAAATACCTCGTTTGGTCGATGTGATCGCATTGGATCGCGCAGGCATCGCTTCGAGAAAGAGGGGTGTGTGAATTTTATGCACGATTGCGCCGCGATCTACGATGCGCATCACGGTGAAAGCACGATGATTGCCGGTACTTCCGAACAAGTGACACCCGACCCGACACTAGTTCGGAAATACGCTTCACCTCGGGAAACAGTTTCTCAACAATAACAAAAGCAAATAGCTAAATCATGCTAAAGTAATCCTCGAATTTTAGTACTTTTGAATCGTAGGAATTGTAATGCCAATCGGAGAGTGATTGTATGCCTCGAGCTAAATGTGCTCTGGGGCACTCCCAAAAAAAGAACCTTTTACCTCTTCCTTTCATCTGAAGTATACGTGGGGTGATCAAAAAGTTCGAAACCTGAGGCACTTACAGTTGCAATGCCCCTTTTTTTTTACTCAACGCATGAGAAGGCAGACGTCTTTGTTAGTGATTGGCAATATTGCATCATACCTGTATTTGTCAATTAAAGATATCTGAGTTTTTTTTTTCAATGCGTTACCAAAGGGTCTGCCGAAGGGCTATTAAAATTGAGGCGAATGTTGTGAATTTTCTAAGCTCTAAGGAGTCGATCTCCCAGCAGATCTTTCAGCAACTGGGAGGATAGAACTGATACTTCTATTTTATTATGTTATGCTTCTTTTGATTTTCTGATTTATGGTTTCCCCCCATCCCAATCGTATGAGCAAAAAAAAAGGATGGACTCCTGCCACAAACTAGGGGGAAACCTCCCGGCTTTCGACGACCCTCCGTCAGTATTCCACTCCCTCTCGTTCCGACATCTTCCCTGCTCGCTCCCCTTTTAAGAGCCTTGTTCCCCGACATTCGGCGTGGCCCACCGACCACGCGAACCTCGAAAACGACATCATCGATGGACGGATCGCCTTTCCTTACGAGACGCCGATGCGAGTCGGCAACTTATTGCAAGTCAGTCAAACGATAAGAGTGAATGAAAATTATCGAAGTCGCTCCCCTCCCTTTCGTCGACGGATCGATCCGAAACGTTATGCAAATAAGCTCCTCCCACTTACGGGCACCGGTCTGATAACGAATGAGTCCCGTTCGGTATCGAATGAGTTCCATTCGTTATCTCGAAAACTCGGCTTAACGCCACGGCTCGAGTACATGCCAACCAGGTCTTTGGAGGTTAATTGCCCCCTTGCTTCCTCCGGGTCTCGTCTGTGTGTGTGCCACTTTTTTTTTTCGTCGTCCCCCGTTCAGTTGGGTTTCCGCCAAGGTTATGTTTCCGCTCTCTTCGCGCGGATATCGCGAGTCCTCATTCTCTCAGTTCATGCGTTCATTCTCATTCTATTTTTCTCCTCTCTCTCTCTCTCTCTCTCCATCGAAATTTCAGAAATTAGTGAGATAAATACAAGAGAAATTCCTAAATCTCAGAGTTTCCGCACAGACAAAAGCGAATTCCTTGGAGCGCATATCCGCTCCTACGTGAGCGCGAGACTCGCGATGAGGGTCAGCGAGAAGTCGGTCGTGTGACGAATCGCTTCCGACGGGAATACAACACTCCCATTTTTTCCCTCACTCATTTCTCCCACAGCGATGTTGATGGCTGCCACCATGCCCGATGGAACGAAAAGAGAGGAAGTGCGAGCCGGAATCCCCCGGGGAATTCCTTTCCTTTGGGGGATTCCTCGTTCCCCCGTTGCGAGAAATTTCTCCTCTCGAACGGAACAAAATTTTCATCGGACGCTCGTACGAGGGTTCTTCTGAATGTCCAGCGAAACTCATATTTCCTAAAAATTCAGGACATTTCATCGATTATCCCTCGAAAGCACATTCTTTCCGTAGTATTCGCCGTCTGCTTCAATGCACTGGTAAAATTCTTGAATTAAAAAAAAAAATTTAAATTGTTTAAATTGAGAAATCCTCCTCTTCGAGCTCCCAAATTCCACTTTGATTTTTTTGTCATTGCAATAGAGTGATGTCTCATCGTCAGTAACGATCTCAGACACGTTTTGAGCGTCCCAGATGGAATTTTAGGAACATTTTTGCAGGAATTCACTCTGGCCTGTCAGTTTTTTGGGACCCGGAGGACTCCAATTTTTATGGTTTTCAAGTATTAGTCCAGAAATTTTTTTTTTTTTTTAATGCTTCCGCTCCGATGCCGACAGTCTTCGAGTTCACGCCAGGTTGATTCCTCGATCGTCTCAAATCTGACGCTCGATGGAACCGCGCACACCGGCCGAAAATTTTTCGATGGAGTCCTTTAAGGCTTTAAGGGGCCTTTGGCACTCGGACGCAGTTTCTCGGATCTCGGAAGAGCCTCGCGTTTTCCCAAATTTCGGTCTCTCGTGCCGACCGACAAAATTATGCAAAAATTCGCTGGAACGTCCCAAAATCCAAAAGAAAAAGGAATCAAACGTGAGCTGTTTGGCATTTTGACACGACGAGTTTCGTTTTACTTTCGGAACGACCCTCGTACTTTCGTCGAAACGCGCGTAACGACGGCCTTCTCGTTGCACGGGCTTATCTAAGGGCTTAAAGGCTCATTCGAGGCTTTTCGCGGTATCCCGATCCCACACGACCGAGAGCGGGGAAAAGCCACGGATCCACACTTCGTCTCCCGTCTCGGTAGAGGCTCCATTTGCTTTCGGCGAAATAGATTATATCTAGCTCCTCTCTTGTATATACCATACGACCCATGCTACACCATGCTACGCATTGCTACCATCTTCTTTACTTTCGTCTACCGTGTCTGCACCATGCTACCCCATGCTACCCATTGCTACCATCTTCTGTACTTTCTTCTACCGTGTCTGGACCATGCTACCCCATGCTACCCATTGCTACCATCTTCTGTACTTTCTTCTACCGTGTCTGCACCATGCTACCCCATGCTACCCATTGCTACCATCCTCTGTACCTTCTTCTACCGTGTCTACACGATGCTACTCCATGCTATACTCTGCTACTTTCCTCTGAACCCTCTCTTCGA